TGATGGTTAATCAGTTGATGAGGTTGTAAATCTTCATCGACTGAGATTGTTGGGCCATGTGTTACATATGTCTGAACTCCGATTAGCACGACGCGCAATGCTGACTAGTGTTGAAGACGTATGGAAGAAAGTTAGGGGCGTCCAAACTGAAACGTGGCATCAGTCAATAAAGTCACTAATTTCTGGTCTAGGCCATGCAGGTATATGCAGAGGGTGAATAATGACGTAGTAAATAGTAATAGTAATAATAATAATAATAATAATAATAATAATGCGAGTCACTTGATTGTTATTTGGAGCGAGAGGAATATTTTTCATAAGTAGATAGTTTATCATGTTTTTGTGTGCGGGCTGAGATATTGCCCGGGTGCCCAAACCGAAGCAGGTGGTTTTCTTGGGGGGCCACGCCCCGAGCCTTTGGCCTAAAGGTCTAACCCACAAGGCAGTGAAGCATCGCGAGGAGATGCAGTCCCATGGTAGCCGGTGACCAAGGAATTGGTTCATACGCCCCACAATGGTAGTATTTCTCGACCTTAAGGCGGCATTCGACTCTGTTGATCGTAAGGTTCTATGGCAGTGTTTGTCACTGAAACGAGTACCAAAGAAGTACATTAACCTTATACAGGCTCTCTACTCGAACACAACTGGTAGCGTGAGAGCTTATGGCGACTTGTCATCAGAATTGATTACCTCAAGTGGTGTTCATCAGGGCTGTCCACTCTCCCCATTCTTGTTCAACTTTGTGGTCGACGTACTTTTAGAGATAACACTCTCCTCGTCTAGATTTCCAGGGGTTGAACTTCTACCAGGAGGTTCACTTGTTGACTTAGAATATGCAGATGACATAGTTTTATTTGGTGAAGACGCTGACAAAATACAGAGTCTTCTGACCACTCTAAGCAACAATGCAAGCATGTTCGGGATGCGATTCTCTCCCTCGAAATGCAAAACGTTGCTTCAGGATTGGGTTGCATCGACACCCGAACTAATGATAGGGAGTGGAGTAGTTGAGTGTGTCGACAGCTCCACTTATCTTGGAAGTCTCATCAGCCCTTGTGGTCTGGTGCGTGACGAAATCTCAGCACGGATACAGAAGGCTCGACTAGCTTTTACCAACTTGCGTCATTTATGGCGTAGGCAAAATATCCGTCTATCAACCAAAGGACGTGTTTACTGTGCAGCAGTTTGTTCCGTCCTACTTTATGGCAGTGAAACATGGCTGGTAAGAGTAGAGGATATTCGTAGGTTACTAGTATTCGATTATAGGTGTCTTCGAAACATTGCTCGTATATCATGGGACCATCGAGTAAGTAATGCAGTTGTTAGGAAACGGGTACTAGGTAAGGATGGCAAATCAATTGATGAAGTAGTGAAACTTGATCAGTTGAGATGGCTGGGACACGTGTTACGTATGCCCAACGACCGACTGCCTCGACGTGCTATGTTCAGTGGTATAGGAGTAGATTGGAAGAAAGCTAGGGGCGGCCAAACCAAAACATGGCACAAGTCCATGAAGTCACTGACAAGTGGACTGAGTCATGTTGGTAGGTGTAGACTACCTGGTTGGGGACCACGAGATGATAGCAACCGATGGTTAGAGACCCTGAATGACATGGCTCAAAATCGTTTGCAATGGCGCAGGTGCATCCACTCTCTGTGCTCTCCCAAATTCTAATCTTTTGAATTCTTGATGTCTCTTTTTTCCTCTTTCCAAATTTATTTCACTGGATTATACTCTTTAAATAACATCTCCAAACCCTTATCTTCCCGATCACTGCTTATACTCTTATTACCTCTACCACTACGGGATTCGAATCGACAACTGCATCTCTGTGCTAATGTGGTGTGGCAACTCGAACTGATGTACGTACGTACGAAGTTCTACGTTGTTACTTACTGACTGGTTCATACGCCATTTGTTCCCGCAGGATACTGGAGCCCATGTGCACCACTGATTTGGTTTGGGATCCGGTTAAAGCGACGTACATTCGCTTTTCGTCCTCTCATTTTCGTAAACAACATCCCCGCCACAAGAAGGCAGTGAGTAGGACTTCTCTGGCAGAGGCTATATACGCGTGGCCGTGTGAGAGTATTTCGGGAAGGAGGGCGGGCCCACCCCACACTCGGTCATACCAGGGCATTTCAAACAAACTCGCAATATTGCGAACGAATAATACTGTGAAGAATGGTAGAATAAATAAACACATAAATAATAGTATTTATTGAGAGATGAGATCCAGTTAAAAACATAGCAAAAAGTAAACTCAACTGAGTTCATTTCACTTTTATAGTTCTATAGAAAACTTCAGCAGAACCGCCTCTGGTTTGTATTTTAAGACATACCTGATAACGTCTCAAGCCTCTGAGTTGCACGGTGTGTAGGAAATCAACCAACAAGTCGTGATAGACCTGTAGGTTCTGTTCACACACACAAATACCCTTTATATCGCTCGCCATGTTGTAAAGAGACCTCTTTTTTTATACACAGTCTCGATAATTCACAATATGGAAGTTGCTGGGCTACATTTGTAAAGCAAGATTAAGCCAATAAAGTCGATGTTTCAAGAGGGTGACTGATTGAATTATTATCGCCATCCGAATGGTATTAATGACACGGTGCTTCTATTGGATCTAAACAGTCAAACACAGAACCTCAAAAAATACTCAACTCGCAGGTTCAGGTTTCACAAGTATAGGGCAGGTCTGTTTTCACCAACGTGATGTAAACTCGACCTTTTACAGCCGGAATAAAAACACAGAGATAGGAAGATATAAAGCTCATGAAGCTTCAAGTTTTTTACTGGTAGATTAAGTGATCCGGAACAGCTGTTAATGGGTACATGCACCAACTTTTGCTGCCTAGTATGTTCTGATCACCGCGCCTCTTAGGATGAATTTCGGAGCTTTTAAGTTACTCAACGTTTTCGTCGTGAAAAGTGGTACAGTTTCAATTGTGCTGATCAATATAAAGTAATTCACGGAAAGTAAATCTGGGTAATCTACGTTTTACAGATTTATGGTTGTTAGATAAACTGCACTTCGTGATTTTGATGCTGATAAAATTATCAAGCTGTTGATCAAAATACCCTGAAGCCATAATTGAGCAGTTACCCTAGAGAGTACCCTGCACTGTTTATAATTTTAAATAAGAAATCATTGCGTTTTTAACTTGACTTAATAAAATATAACTGCCCAGCATTGCAGTTAATATACTTATTTCACCTGCCTTTTATGCTAAAATCTAACCGTAAACAAAGGTTTATAAAGTTTTTTAAACCCCATCCTTTTTGTTTTGGTTAAGTCAACATTTTGTTTTTGGGTGTATGACGTACACCTTAAACGGATAATCTTCGGTTGTGGGTAGTGAAAGTTACGTTTAATTAAAGAATAGTTGTAAGCCAACTGCTCCGCATTGAACAATCAGTCAGCCAGTCATCAACAACGTACTGTGATGAGAAAACCAAGGTTGTCAAAATTATGTGATATATTTGCGCAATATATTTCGAAATCTGATCATACATTTACTTGTGGGTTAAACCTTTAGGCCAAAGGCTCGGGGCGTGGCCCCCTAAGAAAACCACCTGCTTCGGTTTGGGCACCCGGGCAGTATTACACCCCATACACAGCATGAAATGACAATACTTACGGAAAATACTATACTTGCTTCGATTAACAGATTTGTGTGGTGCATATATATTTGATGCCATCTTGTACCAATATTTATGTGTTCAAATAAATAAATAATAGGCTTCAGTAAACTTCAGTGTACGTTCCTGAATACATTTGTACAAAGCTATAAGGGCTGGTTTGATATCAACATTATGACCGGTTTCAATTAAATTTTTCCCATTAAAGGAAGATGTTTGTCTATCCTGCGATCTTATTTGACCATTGGAGTTCATTTTTTTCTATAGTCACTTGGGTATGTGTTCAGTCACCCTTACTTGCAGCTCACGACCTGTCTTCCCTATTTACATGTGTCCACACATATATGTAAAGTAATAGACTCAATGGGATATGATGATGTCGCTTACATGTTGTTTGGGTTTCCAGTGAAACATATACTTTGATTATTCGATAATGACGAGTTAGAGTGCGTAGGATGTCCCGTTGATGGCTAATTTAAGCTTCAACATGAGACTATTTGAGTCACCTCTAAATAATTAGGTGGTAGACTCGTTTTCCGGGTGCCGGAAACGTCATGGGTCTCATCGTATTTCTACCAACGGTTTGTAAACCCGAATGAATAACCGTTATTAAGTTTCCAGTTTAGAGCTTTGTGTCTCCTTCAATAATATCACTAGTACAAACACGATTGATCCCATTTAGTAAGCCCTTTATTAATCCACGTTTGTAATGGGTTGGACAATAACTATGGAAGTTAAGAGATTGCTCTGTCCATGTCGAATTTCTATGTACAGAACGTTTGATCAAGCCATCATCTCTTCTACTAATCATTATGTCCAGAAAAGGGAGCAGGTTATTCATCTCTTTTTCGCATTTTAGAGGAATATGCTTTTGACTTGTGTTGATTTCTTTGAACAAGCGGTTCACAGCTTCACTTTTATCACCTGTGACTAGTATGCCATCCACGTACCATTTATACGGACACATCTTTTGAATTGAGTCTTTAACTAGACTATCCACATATCGACCAACAATGATCCTGAAGGACTACCCATAGCTTCGCCATCAATCTGTCGAAAATGCTCACCTTCGAAAGCGAGTCTCACATCGTGAGTATATTTCTTTAAACATAAACATTAATACGAAAAGGCATCAAATATATATGCGCCACACATTGTCAGTAAATAATGATAATTATGATAAAACTTTAAGTTTTTACAGGGAATGGCAATGAATGGTTATTCAAAGAAATATAATCACACAAAATATTATGTTTATAATACAAATTCAAAAATACTTGCTTGTTGAACGTATCATTTTATACGAAAAGTTAGTTTCTATGCTCTTGAACTTGCTTTTTTTTGTAACTGTAGGATCAAGTAGAGAGTCTTTTTAAACATGAAATCGATCAGATCGGGCTAACTGAGTCCTACTTCAAACTTTTCTCCGATGTCCAAAAGTTACAGCATGAATTTGGAAAGAAACTAAGGTAAAGTAACATTTTATTACCATTCATTTTCGATTTCTATAGGAAAACGGTTTCTGTATATTTACCGAGGAAGAAACCCGATGTTGACGAATTATCTTCTGTTCTGACATATTCAAGTATCGTTCCACAGATACTTGAAATGGGTGTAACACATGAGGCTAGTTCCAAAAAACTTAATGAATCTGTTGTCAATCCATTGAAAACTCAAGTCGAAAATGAGAAGAGATCCTTGGAAAAACAGCGTTCTCATTGGTCAAAGCTAAACGCGACCATAGAACAGTCGCGTAAACAGTTAGAATTAAGCTGGCAAAAGTATGTAACCAATTTCAAAGAAAGGCAGAAAGCATATGAGGTTTCGGAAAAGGCTCAAAACGATATCCAACTAGCGCGGGTCGATCAACAGAAGGTGGGTTTATTATTTATTGTTACATCGGTGGTAAATTTGACCCACACTCTAGAGTTTTGTTTTTGTCAGTATGGTGTTATATTTCATTTTTTCCTATAAAGTTGGTTGTAGTCCATGGTGATGTGTGTACATATTTTTAAAATTCGAGTGATTACTAAGCACAAATATCTTATCAGTCAGTCAGTCAGTCAGTCAGTAACAACGTAGAACTTCGTACGTACGTACATCAGTTCGAGTTGCCACACCACATTAGCACAGAGATGCAGTTGTCGATTCAAATCCCGTAGTGGTAGAGGTAATAAGAGTATAAGCAGTGATCGGGAAGATAAGGGTTTGGAGATGTTATTTAAAGAGTATAATATCTTATAGATGTTATAAGTTTAATACCATGACAAATGCCGAGTAATTGACCCTCACTTAGGCCATTCGAGTAAGTAAATCTTTTATTTGTGACGTGGTCAAAAGACTTAATTTCCTTGCTTCCTATCATGAAAATCAGAATACCCACCAGTTTGTGGTACATGAGCCATCCAAATGCATGTCCTATACTTCAGTTAATTGCTAGTAACTGGCAGTCAGTTCCTTTGTATTGTTTTCGTAGGACTTATTTTCACATACTACTGTTCGAAATGGGATGTTAAAGCTTTAAATATGTGTTTTACATATTTCGTTAGTAGTGGCTTATTGGTTAAGGTAATTGACTTTCAACCATTAGATCACAGGTTCGAAGCCTTTTCTAACTACTTTGACTAGGACAACCGGATAGTATCGTTAGTCTTCACATCAGCATGTGGCATAAAGCTAAAAACAGAAACCTATACTTACCAAATGGGTTACATTATTTATTATTGCTTCATTAACATACAATGACCTTGTAACATCGTTTAAAGTGTATTTTTGAAATGTCGTAATTATAATAGGTAATCGGTAAATTATAATCTGATGCCACGTGAAAGTAACATAGAAGTGTTAATCTGGGATAGCGTGTACAATTAGATGGATTTTATGAACGCAGTATGGATTATATTAATACCAAACAGTTATTTTTAAGCTCACAATATTTCTGTATTGGTTGTCTTACCACTTTTCTCTAGTTTGAAGCTCTTTATCAAAGTAAAATGCAGTCTTTTGATCAAGCTAGTAGAAATTACGTCGATGAATTAGCTAAATACAATATAGCCAATCGACGTTACTTCAGCACAGATATAGTGACTTTTGTAGATGATATGGAATGTTCAAGTCGTATGCGAAATAATCGTACTCGTGAACTTTTACTGATGGTCACCCGCATTAATGAAGAAACAATTTCCAAACTTACTAGCTGCAACAAGCTGATTTCTGAGGCTGTTTCTGCTCTTGATTCCTCCTATGTAAGTTTTTTTTTAAAAAAATTGTTTCCTTTAGTGAGTTCACCACATTTTTATTAATTCCAGCAAATGTTTGATCTTTTAATTTTTCCACGCTGTTACAAAATATTCTTGTTTTTTATTGTAAATTTCACGAGGTTTATTTAAGGTAATCCATTGAATATGCCATCTGAATTTGAAATTATGCATCCATTTACAAGATCTTCAGTAAATATATGGGGCAATTTATTTTGTGATTTGGAAGTTTGTAAAAATATTACAAATTCCGCCAACGTTAGCACAAAGTATTCCTACACATTATTCTGTGTATATTAAAACAATTTAGAATCGATTTACATAGGCATCTGCTGTTTCTAGTAACTTATGTTGAATTGATTCATTAGAACAAATTATAAAAAAATCACGACAATGTTTATATCAGTAAGAAATTAGAAAATTATTTGAGTTGTACTTGATGTTTATCGAAATGCATGGTCTGATGTCATAAAATATATAATAATGTATCGTAAAGTTTTTATCTCGGATATATCAGACAATGATAGCTTACTTATGAATGTTCCCAATGTAAATTAATCTTCTAAAACTAAACATTCTGGTTTTTTTTGTACGACAGAGTATTTTTCGTGTAATTTATCACTACTAAATCACATAATTAGAAAAGTAACATTTGTTATAGTTTTTATTTATCTATTTCAACACATAGATAATGGTACAAAAAGGCACCAAATACATATGCGCCACACAAATCTCATTCGATATGTGCGAGGGCTGTGATACTGCCCGGGTACCCAAACCGAAGCACGTGGTTTTCTTAGGGGGCCACGCCCCGAGCCTTCGACCTGAAGGTCTGATCCGCGAGGCAGTGGAGCATCGTGAGGAGATGCAGTCCCATGGAAGCTGGTGACCAATAATTGGTTCATAAGCCATTTGTTCCCGCAGGATACTGGAGCTCATGTGCACCACTGATTTGGTTTGGGATCCAGTTAAAGCGCTGGACATTCACTTTTCGTCCTCTCATTTTCGTAAACAACACCCCCGCTACGAGAAGGCAGTGAGTAGGACTTCTCTGGCAGAGGCTATATACGCGTGGCCATGTGGGGGCATTTCGAGACGGAGAGCGGACTCTCCCCACTCTCGGCCGTACCAGGGCATTTGGGGGCATTTGTTATAGTACCTACATTTATTTAAAGTGTAAATGTTGATTGGTCGATTGGTTCCCGTATCTGATTGTGTGAACTGTGTTTACAGTAAACAACTTGGGTTATATATATATATATATATATATATATATAAACTTATTATCTATTCAATATGTGTATTATGTAAACTTTTGTGTTGTTCACGTGACTTATCCTTTTACAGGACTCAGCTAAGGTAATAAAGAGGTTGCATACAGATGAACAACCTCCTGCTGATTTACCATTCCTTGATTTGGATAAATGTCCTCCAGGTATTTTGGATGGTTCTGTCTCAGAACTGGGAGCTTTAATACTTGGTGTCGAGTCAGCAGAATGTTCAAATCAGTTAAATAACTCAGGAAGTGCTATTTCAGGAAGCGGGATGATGAGTGGACTCATTCGGTCTACTCACAAGAATTCAAAGGATGAATATCTTAGTTTACGCTCACCATTTATTTGTGGCATTAGTGTAAAAAGTATAAAAGTAAGTTTAAAAAATGTACTTTTTTAAATGTACGTTATTCCACAAATACAGACTACCTGATTCGGATCTGGGTGATAACTGCGGTTAGAGACTGGGCGACATAATTCAGAATCGTTCACAATGACACAAGTTCACTCATTGGTTGTCTTATTGGATTCTAAGTTTCCAAATCACCTCATAAAAACGCTTTTCCTTTTTTATTTCATAAATCTGTATTTTCTCGAATAATATCTTCAATACCTAGTCTTTTCTATCCTTTCTAACATTGCTACTGCATCTAACACTCTAGTATTTGCTTTGAGAATTTCATTTCACCGTGCAGATGAGGTGTGTGACAACCTGAACCGATGTACTCATTCGTCTATGTTGCATATGGCTGACCGACTGACTTCACCAGGCACTAACTAAACTGTCATTAATCAGTTTCTTCATCGTCTTCAAAATTTTTAAAACGATACCACTGTATAATGGTAACTACGTTGAAAATCATATTATAACTCTATTATGAGTCATGAGTAATGAGTATATTTATGTGGTCGAATTTCTTTCAATTGTTGTGCTTCTCACCTTGGTATTTTCTGAATAGTTGTTTAAAGTTTAAGGGGTCACAATTGATCTATCTATGTGGCCAGAAAAGTTTGAACTAGACCACTGTGCCACACCATTAATGGTTTTGACTCAAAACTTGTAGAGTAACTGAAGATTTGACAAACGATTATGTTAATTGGTGTAAGTAGCCGTCAATCAGTGATCGAATGACGATATAACTTTTATAGAGTTACAATCTGAAGTATAATTACACCCATTATATATGATTATTAATTTCCTCAGTAGTATTTTGTTTGCCATCATAATAGACCCACAGACAAATACAATGACATGAAATTTGTTTCTGAAGTGCATTGGTCAATACTTTCTACAACTGTGGGAATGTGTTTACATGGGTAAAGTGGCGTAACTAGTAGTGAACATGTAAATGACAAGCCAGTGTACTGATGATTGAATATAGTAAAAGTAAGTGAATCTATAACATCCTGATTGGCATTTAGTCTTTGACCATTGATGTTTATCAATACAAAGGCATTACCCCAGCACACCTACCTATGCGACTCAAATTAGGTGCTAGTGTTAAACTGGACTGGTCGAACTTCGACATATATTCACCCTGAAACTCTTTTATTCGGCTTACTTTACACTTTTTTCTACGTATTTTCATTTCAACCGTAATGTTCTTTTCGTTTCTCATTTGCATGGGTGGAAAATTTTCAAAGATAAGATATGGTTCTTGATGATTTGTGTTCATTTAATAAAATGCTTTTGATATTTCAATATTCTTAGTATTTTCATGCTCTTCTGGTGAAATGTTAACATGTTTATATGTTTATCATGAATTGGCGAAGCTAAAGTAACCAAGTCTCATTGATATGCTATTAATTGTGGACACTGATCTGTTCATGGATGATATCAACCTTGTGTGAAATTATAACTTTCCTAAATGTAATTGTTGAACAATGGGTCAGTAATTTGAACACTTTACTCTCATCTCTCATTATGGGGATTTGTGAAGATTGTAATATTTTCACAGTTGAATTCACGAGTCAGTCTAAACTAGACCACCACTGAAAACCTGGAAGCATTGGACAGCCGTTTCATTTTAGTATGGGACTTCACAGCAGCGCGCATTTACGATCCCGCACGCGAAATTCGAACACTTTAGGGTTGGTGATGAACTATTCCGTTCATTTGACTGATTTTATGTTAAAAATGACATGAACAAATATGCGTAACAGATTTTCAGCAAACCATTGTTCTGTCTGAAATGTTCGTAGATGTTTAAATGTAGTGCTTATTAAATCATTGACATATATCAATTAAGAATTGATGTGTAATTTATAAATCGTAAGCTGTACAAACAATCATTGTCAGACTTTGCAGTATGTTTTTTGGTTTGTGTGCCTTTCCATAATAAAATAACGAATTCGTCGCTCTGGTTTTTTATTTACATACTTATATAGTCCAAATAAAAACATGTGAAAAGTATTGTATGTTTTTTTATTTTATCTCTTAAATAATTTTGGTAAGTTAACTATCTTTATTCAGTAATTTTACTTTATTTCAAGAATACAGATTTAACTATCAGACAAGTTGCTGACCGGATAAAAGTACTAAGGGACTTGGTTATGAAGACTGATAATGAACTGTAAGTACTTTATTGTAAAAATTCTTTGAATAAATAATACTGATATGCTCAAACGGTAATTGAAATAGTCAAATTTAATATTTCAGTTCTCCAACATTTTCGTTGGATTGTATCCAGTTGTTGTTAAAGTTGATACTTCACATATGATGATTTAATTAAATAATGCTCTAGACCATTGCAAAACATTTTTTCATCAAATTGTCAATCTATGGACTCTAACTAATTCTCTTTCCAATCTTAAAGGTGTTTGCTTTACTTGACAATTTCTCAAATATCGAATTTAGATATGTAAACCATGGGATGCCGACCCAATGATCTAAAGGTTAAACACTCACGACGAAACCTGAAGATGCTGGGTTAGACAAAGCAGTTGTCCAGTTGTTTGTGATTTTCAGAGGTTGTCGACGATCAATCCGTGATGTAAACTATAATAATTTTCTTTAAAAGTACTAAGAAGAATACGTTTCTAGTGTCTGGTTAATATTGGAAAGTTGAAAAATATGACCGAAGAGAGTTTGGGACGCGTAAAATCAGTAATGTAGTCACTTTATGCTAGATATTCAAAGGCGATCAATTATTAACTCTCCAAATCTACCATATCATTTGCTTAAAGTGTATTTTTTCTTTAAGTATTAAGGGGTTTAGAGGGTAGGTCTAATCCCTGAAAACTAAAAAAAATCCATTATTTTTCTCTCAAGATGCTTTTGTAGTTTTTATTTGATTATAACCATAAGAAAACACAAAGAAACAGTCAGGGAACCTGTTAAATCCACTTTTGTAAACTCGCTAATTACACTAATTTGAATGATTGTATCATATGAAGTGGATTCTGAGTAATCAGTTATAATCCCTTCTCTTTAAGTATACCGACGAAGTCTAATATAATGGCAAAATAATGGTAATAGTTTTATTTACTTGATAGTCATTCCTTTACAGATCTATGACCTGTAAAAGCATTTAAAGAATAAAAAAACGTTTAAACGTACCATCTTATAAAGGATTATTTTGTCAACCATTCAGTTATCTGAAATATTAGGAGCACTAATTACCTTTCCTTTTAGTTGCCTTAATATTCCACACTTCATAGTGTAAATCATTGGAAATTTTTTGGTTACCACTAGAATAATGTAACTATATATATTCAATCTCTTGCCAAATGATCATTATCAAGTGATTGATCTCTAAAGTACCTGTTTATTTCATATACACCGTTATTCTGATAGAAATTAATTTTAACTCTTTATTATTTCAACTATGCATTTGATTTCTCTCATTTCGCACACATGGACGTTTCAAAAACATTTTAAATTTACACTTTTACCTTAAATAAACAAATTTGCACCGATTGTCGACTATTAACAACATCAGGTTACACAAACACACACATTAGTTTCATTTCACTTTGTGAAATTTTCGCATGATTCACATTTTACTGACTCATATTTTTTTGCTTACTAAATTCGTTATCTTAATATAATCGGATAAGCTTTTAATGTAGATTTGGTTGTTATACATTATATATTCTTTGACAATTTTGATTTTGATAATTACCCTGAAGAAGTCCAAACAAGATTGCTGGATGAAACATTGGAATTATTTGACTTTCGACCGCTACTGTTATTTCAATCATAATTTTTCATAAACTATGTGTTTTATTATACTCAGTGCCAATTTCTTTCAAACTATTAGTTCACAGATTGACGTATATTTATATTAATATATATCACTGTATTGTTGGCTCTATTCCATTTTCACTAATACAAATCCTGTTTTTTTCCATTGTTTCACCATCTAACACACGCTAAACTGTCAATTTGAATATGATTTATATTTTAAGTAAGAAACTATATTTTCAAGTGTATGACGTTCTATAAGGGATTTAGAAATGTAATAGAATTGAAACAATAGTGATATGTATTATTTATACTTGAGCATAGCATACCTGAATACCCAGATCAGAATTCACATGATCATAGTGATACAAATGTGATTAAAGTATGAATTAATTGTGATTCATGAAAAATCACAGCATTGTAATTTCTACTCAACTCTCGTTCCATACAATTGATACGATTCTGTGTAATGGTAATCATTTTCAACTCATATTGCTTTCTTGTTATTTGGTAGGTAAATCATAGTTATAACACGTTGATTGACTGATTCACGCATAAGTGGCATTATAATTTCTCCCAAAATACGCATATTCATTTGATCAATCGTATTATTTCATGATATTTTTTTTCAAGATTTGGCAGTTACCTCTGAGGTCACCTATTTCTTTTAGCAGGTCAATCAATTGATTATGAACTCGCAGTCATTTCATTAATTTACCAATCAGTTGTTCCATCTTAGCAAAGACGAGTATCAACAGTTCCTTGGTGAAGTGTAATTAACAATCTAGGTTATTTAGCGCACTTATCTAACTGTAAAATGTTTACTTTTTTCTATAGTTATTTTGTAGCTTTATTACAAGCTTGGATATATATACATTTTTATTTCATTTTTAAAGACGAAGTACCGATCGTATGATTGAATCCTGTCGGACAAATCCTAAATTCGGAGATATGGAATGCTTAGTTCGAGCAGGTGCTACTTACAGTAGACGTTTAAATTCTTTAAAGCAACACATTAAAGAACTTGAGGTAACATGCTTCCTGTGGACGTAAATAGTTTTTCTTTGTTATAGAAATAATATCAGATATTAGTTATGACAAATATACTAATCTGTCTTACTCTCCCTGCAAATACATGTATGGAAATACGTAGAACTGTAAATGTGAATAATTAAGTAGAAGAAAATTGTCATACCTTAAATAGAAGTTCACTCAATCTTTAATCAATGACAAAGAAACAAAACAGTCTTTATTGAAGTTGTTATTGAAAGTTTTGCTCTCCGATTCTCTCGGAAATCAGTGTATATATCGATATATAATATTTATCGGTAAATATTTGTTTAGATTATGGTTTAGCAAATATTAGCTCACTATTCGTCATGACAATTATTTGAGTTCGTATTTTGTTTAACTAATACTAATACTAAAATCAGCTTTTGTTGTAGCGTGAACCATAAACTTACACTTGGTAGATAATGAGAAATCAACAAAGAGTTACTTTTTAAAACATAAAAATCTTGGTTAGTTAAAGTTGTATGTTTCATGCTTTGAACAGATATATCATACGAAAAAAGTAAGATGTAAACCGATAGATAAATTGATAAACTAGCTAAAAAATCATTAGTGTTTATGTAATTAGTTAATTTGCTCATTTTATTCGAGACCGTGATTGAAAACTATAAACAAATATATTTCAACCGTATATCTATCAAGTGATCAGTCATAAATGACGTAGAATATGGCACACATGTGTATAGACACAAGTTGTCACATCTGAATGTGATGAAAAAAAGAAAAAAATCAATAGGATAAAAAGATCATAAGAATCCCAATAATGATATTAATAATAAGATTCATAATGGCGAAATGAAAACACAACGAGAGCATTCGATTTATTTTGAAAATAACGGGTTAATGTGTGAACAAAATACAATTATGAACTAACATTCCAATTTAACATCTAGAAAAAGATAAAGATATAAACTACTGTGATAAACATCAAGCTATAACTTCACCTAATGCGTCTAACCATGGATTACGAATTACCCACTTATCTCGACCATAAAGTCTGCATCTTCAAGTGACTGAGAAAATTTGACGAATACCACCTGATACTGAGTATTCAAGGGGTTCTTAATCGTTTAGACCAGTTTCTTAAAACATTCAAATATTGCAATAAACCTTCGTGTCTCGGATTTGTTTCGGCCAAATAATTACGAATGCTGAGCATACTTACTCACGTGCTTTTACAAAAAGAAGCTTACAAGCTACCGCGATGTTTGCTGGAAAACGTAAATGTTGACACCATATTTAATGGAATATTCTCCTCTTTGTTTCTCTTTTGAGGAAACTACCAGTCAGTTACACTAGAATGCATGAATCTAATGTATGGTGGACGAAAGTGAATAGTTGTCTTAGCTGAACTGGTAGAAAGCTTTCTCCATTAAAGGTGAATGACAGACACTGACTATTTAAACATAAAATATATTTTTGAATAATTAGAGTTTGAGTGTAAATTAAAGGGAAGTTTTCTTTAATACTAGATAATTGATGCTGAGTTTTTTAGTATAATAAAATTAATAATAATATTAGGTACACCGAACGTTAATTTTAGCCTTGTTATTGTTGGTGACACAGAGAATCAAGTCATCCGAATATCTCTTAAACATTTACTTGTGTAAATGCACGACTAAGTGGATTCGATCTTCAACTTTGAAGCCAAGCGAGTTTTTTTTCAGTTTTGGTGGTGTTGAGTGCTGTTGGAAGTATGTGTGGTTATCACTTCCCTGTTGCCCACACCGTGGAAGTGTTCTTCTAGAGGTACCATAAAGGGAAATCGCGTTGGAGTTGGTCTAGTGACCTGATAGCATGACTGCAGTGCCAAAGGGATAGCTGCTTGAGGCCGGTCAAGCACGGCTTTTCGTGAGTAATTTTTGTGTTAGCTCCCTACTTCTTGAAATTTTACCACTGGGAATGGAAATCTGTGGGATTAGGCTATTAATTGGTTTATCAGTTCACATCTTTAACATTTTGGTTAAGAGTTAGAGCATACGAAAATACTACCACTAATTACTTGTTTCTAGATACCTTTTGATCTGAATTATAGATGTTGAGTTCTCTAAGTTTCTATCATTAATTATAATGAAACTATGATTAAGTTGCTCATTAAAAAATGTGATCATTTTTAGGTGAAATTCAACAATCTAGGTGGTGATCTAGCTTATACAAAAGCTGAATCAATAGCTGAAAAGCTTAGTTCACGTGCTGTAATCAATAATAACACAAATACTTCTAAGGTTCGATCTGTAAATACTAAATCGTAAGTTGGTCAGTCTATTGCTTTATTTCTCTTGCTTTTTTTGTATTTAACCAACCTAGTTTTAATTATTTTATACTATAACTATCTATTAATCCTTTGTCAACTAGTCAATTTCTCTAGAATATGATGAATTCTGTTTGTTTGTTTATTTTACGATGGTACTTTAATCAGTTTATTTCTTTCTTCACTCTACACATTAATTGAGAAGTTTCAAGGTCAACACTTTTTATTTCTTAACTCCAGTGTGGTTTTTTTTTAAAAAACAAGCAAATAAATTCTTACAAAAGTGCACAAATAGTCTTGAACTTATTATAATAGGAATTTTTAAAAAAAAGAGCAGTTCTGTCCGTTTGTTTAACTTGGAAGATATGTTGCTTGTTGGTAACAACTGAACATAAAATATAATGGATACAATTCATTGTGTTACATATAGTGACTGCAATAATGTCATATGGTAGTTAAGCAAGTATAGTGCACTGTGAAGTTTAATACTTCAAGAATGAATTGCATCCAACACACTGGTATTGATGTTTAACTATCCATATACCTCTAGACCGCCTAACATTGTAATAAAATAAAATAAATCTACAAAGACAAGTGAGTGGCGAAAGTCTTAATGGAATATTCTTTATAAATATCAAAGCAAAATCTTGATATAACTGGTTTTCATTAAAACTTGTACTCATAGTTTGCTGAGTTACTTCGATCTATTGTTCTCAGTTGCCGTTGCACGATTGTTAACTCTCATAACCTATTTTTTCGTTATCTAACAAGCTTTTGCATATTGAGATTGAGCATCCACCTGCTAGCAACTAAATGACCATCAACAAATTGACCGTGTTAATACATTATTAATAATGTCATCAATGCAATAGGCTTTTTGTTAGGTTGTATATTGTTATCTATGTGCGAACATTGATCCTATTTCTATTGACTTGATTTCCTGTTCACTTTTAAATGCATTATTTTGTCTCAATTCACAGTCTTGATGATGATGAAGATGATGATGATGAAAGTGATCATTCATTTGATTCGGATGCTGACGTTGCTACGAATAACAGTAAAGATGATAGTACTGTAAACAGCAGTTCGGATCTACACGCAGGAACTCGATATGTTGGCTATGCTTCTGCTCTGTACGAATATGAAGGTAAATAAAATATTAAGGGATCTAAATCATTTTATACTTGTGATGTATTACACAATACCGATATTCATTACACATTTGTTTTGAGTGATCCAATTATAGTTGTTGTAAATAGTTTTCTCCAGTCTGTTTATTGTAATTATGCCCATTCAGATTTTGGTCGTTTAAAAATCATATAAGTATTTGTGAAATTCCCAAACACAAAATGATCCAATTATATTTGTTACTATACTGTACAGATAACTCGTCTTACACTATCTCACACCGTGAAAATATTCCATAGGAAAAACTCAGAAACTGTACAACCAGTTACATTCACAAGGAATAACTATTTGAGAACACGTAAATACAGTGTTACACGCAGATTATCTGTTAGAAGACTACCACTCAATGAGTAATAACTAGAAAAAGACTAGTTAGATATTATATCAGCAACGATTTACTCAAAATTTCTCATTTTTCCGATAGGTCAGTCCGTGGCTGGAAAATTATTTCTCACGTCAACCTAATGACTCTTGTAGTTGATGGAAATTTAGCTCAGACACTCGTACAGCTTTAAAGAAGTCCACCTTATTAAGAGATATGTGATTTTGAATTTGATCAACTTATCGACACAGTGTCTATGATTAAACGTCCACACATGTAATCTCCATAAAAATAGTCGCAGTAAATACATTACTGATTATATGTCTTAGTTTATTCTGATATTGCGATAGTCAAAAGTGTGGTGGTTACATTTTAAAATTAACATACAAAATAGGAAACTAAGGTCAAATCATACTAACAGGATTGAAATAGTGCCTTTTATAAGTATACTTTTGAGCACTTGCTAGATGAAATACTCAAACAATATATAAAAAGTTTATTAAAAAGTTTTCTGTCTAATTGCCATGAGGAAATCGGAAATTAGGTAAGTGCTTCAAACGGGAACATTTGGTTGTACAGCTTTTTTAGAGTCCTTATTTTAATCTATTTACCATTGACATGCCACTGACATGTCTTCTGTGTGCATAGAAAATGTCAGTATGGTTTGTCTTTGTAAAATTACTGAAATCTTTTGATGGATCTCACACAATATATTAAAATTGAAATTTTACTCAGTATAATGTGGATCGAAAGCTGCAATTGCTACAAATATAATGGAGGTTGTTTTTCGGAAATCTACATAACATTGACGAGTTTCATGTTTCTTTGTGCAATAATTGAAAAGGAACGTGTTAAGATAGCTATCCATCGATCATCTAACTATTCTTAGCAGTTATTTAGCTCCCATTGTCTTGATTCAAAAAATGGGTTATATCAATAGCTCTAACGTAGCAAAAGAAAAGAACAACAAATTTATGGTCAAACGGTGATACTGATACAGTTCCTCCGTATAGGTCAACGTATTAGACATTGAGTGACGATTGTTGAGGCATTACTAGTAAACTATTCAAAGCCAAAATTGAAAGCAAAGTTTAGTTGTTTGTTGATTATTTCTACCAATACAAAGTCGATATGACTTTGTGGTAGTTCTTTGCCAGGGTTCTTTAAAATACATTTTAGACTACCAATGGAAAGCTATATCTCATATCACGTTGATAGTGCTTTACTATATGTGATGAAATTTGGATGTCTATCTATTTTGATTCTATGCAATAAGTTCAAATGCATAGAATGACTTCCTACCACTGAGAGATATTTAAGTAAGTCCAGTATGTTGGCTTCAACATACAAGATACAATCCTCACATGTATTTCTCTTAATTGTTTAAAATTCCCACATAAAATCATATGAATGAGTTCAATATACATTTCGATATTTTCATCATAAACAATTAATCAATTGACCCCCAAGGTAGTGGAAAATTTTATTTTCTCACATTTTCCCTCTGATCAGGTGATGGGAGTACATATTTAGCAACAAAGCCCGGAGAATTGTATTATGTTTTAAAAGTAGATTCAACTAATTCTGGATGGACAGCTGTAGTATCTGAAGATGGAACACGTCAAGGTTTTGTTCCAACTGGTTACATCAATTTAACCCTTTATTGAATTGTCAGTTTTTATCAATTTGTTAATTTTTGTCATTTCCACCTTCCCCTAATTCTCAATTCAATTTTACTGTTAATATGAGTATTACAGCTCTTCCAGTTGAATGAATTAGTATTTTCCTCTTTTCATTAATATTGAAAATAATATATTGGTTTGTACATTCACTCCTCTGACTTAATTATTGACACTTTAATCTTTATTATTTTCAATTATTATCACTACTGTTATGTATGACTATTCTTATTCTCTAATAGTTGACTTTAAGTCTACACAATCAGCTTAATTATTTGAAAATTCCACCTCTGTACACCAGTTACTTTTCACATATATTACAATAAATGTTAAATGTACAATACATTAATCATTCATAACACCTTGAACACTTAACACACTAGTGCCTTTACTCATGATTCACTGCAACTTATTGATTGATGTTATGATTGTATTATCTCATTGTTTTTCTTTTCAATAATGTTCACCTTTTAAAAACGAAAGTCACCTTATCGTTAACATTCAGTTTGATTTTGTATTCCAATATCATTAAATAAAAGTCAACTAGTGGTATTAATTTATTGATCATCTAGTCTTTAATATTTCCAATATAATTTATCCAATTTGTCCATTCCTATTATTGCGTAATCATTAAGCTTGTATTCATTTATTTATTTTTTCATTTATGAAACATGTTGATAATGATGTTTCGCAAGATTTGGTTTGCTTAATATGTATTCCGTTTTCTATTATTTTCTTCTATTCAAAAACGATATACCCTAATTCTTGTACAACATACACTTATGAACAATAAAATGATTTTAAAAACAGGTATGACACTCAACAATTTATTTGCTTCATTGTCTGACTGCTGAATCTATTTTCAATGCATCATATTTGCGAACCTCTGTTTGATTTCATTATTTTTCTCATCTTTTTGTCTGTTTTTTCCTAACTAATTTTAGCTGACGTAATTTGGTAAATTGTGTGGTTGTATATTTTATGTATTAATTTTTCTACATATAAAGAGGATACTATATATATTGGTGTTTCAGTTATGCTAGATACTAACGCCTTTCTCATCTGTTGATTGGTAAGTGGCATGGTAGCCTTCAATTCACCTTGTAGTTATTTAATAAACCATATGTGTTTACCCTAATCCAAGTATTTGGATTTCTCTTAGTACAAGATTTATACAAATGGTTTTACTACGTTTGTTGTTTATATGACGGCTAAGTTAATTGTTCTTGAATTTAAATATGGATGCCCGGCAGTAGTGACTCAAGACCATTGTCTGTTCCAACGAATGTTATTTCTAAAACTATTTTCTTTTCAGTTCACAACTCAGCAAGAAATAGTTTTTCACAGATTTACAATCAGATCTGTCTCCGTACTTATGGATGTGGATTAATGTGAAGAGAACATTTTGTTAGATCACCATAAGAATGTCTATCATTTAGGCAGTCTATTTTGTATATAATCATTGATAAATCTCTGATATCACAACTAAACAATAGTATCATTTTAGGAAGATGGTGACAATAGGTTGATACGAATTAATAAACAATGGTAATGAAAATAAGGATATATTATTGGGAAAGTTGTTATTATTTCGAGCTGACTTTATGTGACTTAATTGTTAATAGTATAAAACATGAAATGTTTTCATGACATGTAAGTAGAAGTGAAGTCACTTCACAATACTCCATTATTGGTTGACAGGATACTATGGCGGTTATTAATCTCGTAAGCCTAGAGATATCTTCAGTGAATAAAATACAAATGATAGCATAAACCGATATAATAAAAAGGTGGTATGAATATATCATCAAATACGTTTCATTATGGTATATTCGAGATTCTACCTATTAGAAGATACATGAAATGGTCTAGGTATTAATATGCTCGGTTCGTTTATTCATACTGTTTTTGTCCTCAGTATTTCCATTTGGGACTGTAGTGCATCGAAATGTTCCATGGTTGATTAATTTTTTTGAAGTAAACTAATTAACATCAGAGTTCAATTTTGAAGCACATAGTTAGTGCTTCAGTGTAATGATGTACTACTGATACCAGTAATAAATAACGATTCCGAAATTTAATTGATTATTAGACTTTGTTTAGCCATAGGAAAGGTAGTGTTTGTAGTATTTTGCAGTATTTTCTTGATCGACAGATTAGTCTCAAAGTTCCTCAGAGAGAAATTCGATGGCGTAATGTCATGTAATTCCAGTCCACATCGTGTTAGAGCCTATAACATGTTAGAAGCAGACGAAACAGAGCATAAAACCAAGAAGTTAACACCAGGACTCGGATATATATATATATATATATATATATATATATATATATATAATTCCTATGTTATATACTCGCATATTGAAGAAATGCATTAAGATTATAGAATGAGACAGAAACTCAAAAGGATAGGAACACGACCCAAAACAGAGCATTAATTGTTATACTTAGGATTGTTTTTGTCAAGATTATTTGTCATAATTTTTTTATCAGGGAAAAAAAAGATGTCCCGCCATTATCATAGATCAATTAGCAGTTATTTCATTTAAATGGTATTTTAGTAATGAAATGAAAACAGCGTTTGTTTATTTAAACACGACAGGGATATCCGCTATCTTCACAAATTCTAATAAAATGTATCGAACAACTGTTTTTTCCCCAAATTTAAGACTCAAAATCAGCGCTTATCGAAAACCCCACTCGATGTAATCTGTGGAAACTCAACAATTTTCACAAATGTCTCCACTATGTGTGAAATACCTTGCTGTCCTAATTGTGAAGACTGCTTTTCTCAAAATATAAGTTTTGAGGAACATTGGTTCTCAGTCCTTTCTGTGTACTTGTTACTAAAGAACTCGTAAATTCACTAAACAATGGTATATATTTGCAGCTCAGGAAAACGATTTTGATGAAGTTAGTCTCTCTGGATGAATAGTTTAATCGTGATTTTTTAGGTGTATTTCTACATAACATCGGTAGTAAAAAGAAAGTACCACTAGGAAGATTGAAGTACTACCTAGGGATGAAAGTATCTATCAGTCCGTGGAGAAATGTCATCAAAAACCTGTGTAGTTAAACCTCTGGTTCTCTGCCTTTGATTATACAAAATGTTATTATCAGAAGAGGTATCTAACAACAATGTCATTTTAGAAAGCGTAGATAACCAGAAGCAGAACAGAATGTTTGGGTAATTAGATGTATCAGAAAACAACCTAAACACTAGCAACATCTCACAAGACTATACGGGTACAAAACCCATTCAAAACAGATAACTCTGAGTATTTATGTGATTTCATCCTAACTATTAATCCAAATGGTTGTACGGCGAGACTCTAATTTAGCGACGAGCCAATCAGAAGCGTTTGAGCAATTTCAAGGTCACAGAGCCAAGTTCAACACGCAATACTAACATACGGTCGGTTCACAGCGGATTTTAGAGAGGAGGTGATTAATGAGAGGTTAAAACAGATGGGACGGCGAAACTCTAATTTAGGGACGAGCCAATGAGAAGCGTTTGAGCGATTCCAATTATTAGCCAATCAGAAGACAGTATAAAGTAAAAATATATTACAAGAAAGTAATGAATTACAGTGAATATTCTTCTTTTACATGATTTAAAAAACTTGTTGAGGTTTGATAAAGTCTCAGAAGTTCTGAATTCATAATGCATATTGTATAGAAACTCGTCCATAGGGTTAGGGTTTGGGGTTAAAATTAGGGTTAAGGGTTAGGATAAAGTTAAGGGTTTAGTGTTAGGTTAAGGTTTGGGGTTAGGTTAAGGTTAGGGTTTAGGGCTAAGGTTAGAGTTTGAGGTTAGATTAGGGTTAAGTTAAGGTTATGGTTAGGGTTAGATTAGAGTTTAGGGTTTGGTTAAATTTAGGGTTAGATTAGGGTGAAGTTTAGGGTTAGGTTAAGGTTGGGGTTAGATTAGGGTTAGGGTTAGGGTGCTAACATGCGATCGGTTTACATCGGATTTTAAAGAAGAGGTGTCCATTGACAGGCTACAACCCTAACCACTAACCCTATGGACGAGTTTCTATACAATATGCATTATGAATTCAGAGCCTTTGAACCTTTATCAAACCTTAACATGTTTTTAAATCATGTAAAAGAAGAATATCCACTGTAATTCTTTACTTACAATATATTCTCACTTTATACCAACTGTCTTCTGATTGGCTAATATTTGTCAAGGTCATTTAAGATTCGTTCAAAGGTCGTCGCTAAATTTGAGTCTCGCCGATCATTGTTTAGTAGAGTTCATCGGACTTATGTATCGGACTTGTAACTCATCAACTGTTTAATGACACTCAACCCTATTATTCTTTTAACTTTTTACTATGGTGATATACTCATAAAATATGGATATTGAATGACTAACTTCTTGGCAATTACATCACTGTAACATAATGTTATCTATTTTGTTTATAATTCAGATGTATCATTATTATTAGAAGCTTTATTCAACATTTTATTTTTGGTACAACATAGAATTCTCAGTATAGTATTTCAAAAAGTTTCCTTTTCTTATACCTTGATCGATTGTGACGATAAATTTTGAATGATGACCAGTTAGACGTTAGAAGTTCGGTAATCCACATTTGATTACTGTTCATTTGTTTCAATGCATATTGCCAGCAACCATGATGTCGCTGATTGTACCTTTTTGTATCCCGTATAGCTGAAGGTTGTAAACTTTTCATAAACGCGCCTGAATAGGTTGTGCGCACAATAGACATAGTGATGTGCTAAAACAAACAACAAAGCAGATAACTTGATGAAATATCTAGATCGGAGGAACAGGTAGTCCAGATATTCAAGCAGGCCACCGGTTGATTAAACTTTAAAAAACCAGATACAGTTATTTCAACAGATTATATTGTTCATATTATAAAGTACGTCGTGCATTTGAACCAAAAAAAATTATCTTCGTTATTCTAGTGAACACACATGGTAAACGACATATAATATTGCATAAAGGATTTAGTTATAATTAAGATTTATTGTTTACATTCTTGATGGTTTTTATCACTTCAAAATCATGCTTATAGACAATTATACAGCTTCATAGGTAATAGTATAGAGCATCATATTCTGAGTTTGCTGTTCAATGTTACCATCCATTCGGAAAAAAAATTTTGTGTTGATGTATTGGATTAATATTAAAATTCGTTCAAAGAGTATCAGCAGAAGGGTAATGGAGGAGGGTTGGGCATGGGGTCGGCAGTCCGATCAGGTAGAAAACATAACTGTTATGAAAACGCTTATCACAATACAAAATTCAACCATTTAAAATCTTTCCTCCGAGTTGAAGGAAGAATTGTGATGCCTCATAGTGAAAGCCGATATTCTTCGGAAGTCACATGGCGTTCTCGAATGCCTGTATAGTCTCTGCTGAATGATGGAATGTCGCGACATGTCTTCATGTGACGTCCGTCAGTGGTTACAACAACAATCGTGTATAATAATGTATTAGCTCCAGAAACCGTCGATATTTTTTGCGAATCGTAAACTGATATCCGCAAATAACAGCAACGTCTGCCGGAACTGTTGTAATACTTTGAGAAGTTACGATTTGACACCAGATTTGCAAGAACCTATTTCAAAAGACACACTTCTCAACGGTGATTGAGATGCCATACGTATGTACCCCTAGCAAACCTTTAAGAGCTTGATCAGTAAACCAGTATAAAATTTGCTCTGCATTAGCCAATGTGAATGGCATGCGCAGAAATTCATATAGACCAAATGAAGTAGCTGCTAATGTCGTGGATGTGTCTTATCACATATTTAGCACCTAACGTTTACATGCTAAGATATAGATAATTTTCCCAAGACCTAGCTTCTCTGTACGTTTTCATGGCCGAGTGAAACGGCAACACACGAGAGTTGATAGGAGGCCTTATAATGCTTAGCTCCATTAACTAAACGAATTCCTGTTTTGCTATTCTCGATATTTTGAGGTCCAAACTTCGTGGCCCTGCATTTGCTGGTGGTCATTTCGTTACATATATGGTCTACGAAATGAACAACGAATGTCGAAACATTAACTGGGATTTAAAATAATGTTAACGTTTCACTGAAGGTTATCTTTTCTAATTAGAAATGACAAATGCATTAAATGCGAGTGAAGAACATCTATTCCGTGGAATTAGTGCTCATTTCTCTTTTCAACGTATCATTTCTATTGAATTGGAGGTATTCGGAACGGTGTAATTCCTAGATATTCTTTTTCGTTACTGTATGTTTAACGACAAACTGTCTCAAGCAGCCCAATTTTTTTTACCGATTATGAAAGGAGCTGGATACTTATAGTGAACGTTTTGTTGTACTTTCGTCATAGCAAAATACAAGATACTAACACATGGGTAATCGAAAGTTTGTTGTAGTGTAGCTTAAAGAAGTTAGTACGGCAGAAATTTAGAGAAACATACTTCTAGGATCACTGAAAAAAGTATTCCATTATTTTTTAGCTCATCTTAACTTTTTCTAGTCCGCCTATGATTGGTAGTGGTTTGGAGGATAAGCTCCCGGTTTGTGACAAATCAGCATACATCTACCAGTTAATTTCGGCATCCATGAACTACTGTGATCAGCCGAACTATTGCATTTATGGTTGTGGTTTACAGGAATTTGCACAAAGTTCGGTTAATATTCATCTGTCTACATGGTAAGAATGAGTGCTAGACGGCTGCATTTCGAGGGAGCTTCTGACAAAAGAGGCATATCTGATTTCGTTACAACAACAACAACAACAACAACAACAACAACAACTACTACTACTACTACTACTACTACTACTACTACTACTACTACTACTACTACTACTACTACTACTACTACTACTACTACTACTACTACTACTACTACTACTACTACTACTACTACTACTACTACTACTACTACTACTACTACTACTACTACTACTACTACTACTACTACTACTACTACTACTACTACTACTACTACTACTACTACTACTACTACTACTACTACTACTACTACTACTACTACTACTACTACTACTACTACTACTACTACTACTACTACTACTACTACTACTACTACTACTACTACTACTACTACTACTACTACTACTACTACTACTACTACTACTACTACTACTACTACTACTACTACTACTACTACTACTACTACTACTACTACTACTACTACTACTACTACTACTACTACTACTACTACTACTACTACTACTACTACTACTACTACTACTACTACTACTACTACTACTACTACTACTACTACTACTACTACTACTACTACTACTACTACTACTACTACTACTACTACTACTACTACTACTACTACTACTACTACTACTACTACTACTACTACTACTACTACTACTACTACTACTACTACTACTACTACTACTACTACACCTTTTGACTATCAGCAATAGTGGGAAACTAGACTTATCAGTCGTCTGGTAGATGGAATGAGATGAAACATTCATTCTCGTGATATGATGACGAACACACTCATGATGATTTTTATATGTAAAAGATTGTAAAGTGAGTACGTTTTACCTTTCGTAGTGCCAATGTACACTGTAAGTGTAGCGTATCATTTATCTTCTATACGGGCTAACCTTTTCCATCTTTTCGAATGATTGATCGTTACGGCCTATTAGGTGAAACATTTGCTACCACTATTAAAAATATGCGCCAAATGGAACAAGACTGGAATGGAAATTTCCACATTTTCAGTCAAGCAGATATAATCTGAAGCAACGTTATATGAGTCTCTAGTGGGAATACTCTGTTTGAGCAAACTCATCTGTCTGTCCAGGAGAACTGGTTGATTAGTTGTTTGAGTAACACAAAGTGCATCAAAACGTCTTATGGTAAACAAAGTCATTTATCAATCACAATGCCCATGCATATGCTAAGGAAAATAGTAGAATGAAATGCTGTTAGAAGCGTTATTATTATATAAATAAAAACATTTTAAAATTTTACGCTGTTAGTTAAATTAAATTATATTACTGTCCATCTAAAAACTACAAAATTGTAAGTATTTTCCAACAAAGACTTGTTTGGGTATTTGGTAATCGCTTGAAAGAAAAATAAGTTCAGTAAAACAATTATCACATTGTAAATAGGAAACAATTGTCTAAATAGTTGTAATCGGTACTGTGCGTATTTCAGAACTGGTTGGATCAAATCACATTATAAATGATGTTTCATGCTCAGATTGTCTTCGAAGTTTAAAGTGAATAATCTCTACTTTCTTAGGAAAATAACACAAGTCATATTAATTATGTGTACAAATTCATTTAATTTTGTGTGGATTCTATTAGTCACTAGATCTAATCCAGCTTAGTTAAAATGAATATCTAAACTCATGTTTAAGCCACTCTATCCTGATAAACTGTTGAGCTAAATTAGGTAATCCACTGTATTTTCGACAAGATATACTTCGCATCCGATATGTGTTTGCCTTTTGCACGCTGTAAGATTACTAAAATGGAATACGTCTACTATGTCCGTGAAAATCGATGATGACTGCTGAGTTGGTCACAGCGAAATGTTCTTTGTTAAATGTCTTACAAATGGTGAAATTCCTATTTTCAAGTTCACCAATATATTGCGAAAATCCTAAATGAACTAAAGAGCAGTTTTCTAAAAATCTGTATCGGTGTACTGTTCATTGTGATTGCTGTTTTTAAGTATATATGTGTGAGTTTCGATTTGTTGGACTATAAATTGGTGAATTGTGTCATTTGAGTTTCAAATGTATGAAATTACTTACATAATTAACATTCGATTTCGTCATATAAGTCCTTCAGTAATCCTGGTATCCATTGACTTGACTCTTGTTCTAAAAACCTAAATTAGTATTTCATATATGAAGTCACCATTCATAATCTTGAACCTCTGAAGTTCCCATTCCTTCATCAAAGTTCCCAATTTTTCTGTAATTTGAAAATGAATATTCGTTTTGGGTAACTGTGTTTATTTAAGTGATATAGGTACATTGATTTATCACACAAACTTTACTCACATTGGTGAGTGAACCTGAAAGTCGGTGACCGAATTTATTGTACTTTCAACAAACTGCGGGTATGAGTACGGAGGATTACACAACTTATGCGATAACATTCTGGCTTTTAAATCACACAGAAACCATCGGTTACCATGATACACAAAAGTATTTTGAAGTTGTAGTTATTTTGTAGATGAATATAGTTCCTAATTTACATAAGCATAGCATGTAAGTAAAAGAGCTATATCTACCTATACTACTGCACAAATTAAGACATTCTATCATGTTAAATAATCAAATTTCAACAGATATATACATAAGAAATAGGAAGCCTCAATGATTATTAAAAAAACATTGTTTGTTGTTAAGTGTAATTTCACATGAGCTGCACTTATTAAATTAGTTTGGATAGCTAAATGCCATTCCAGGAGAGTCATTTGTTCAGTCAGTTACAAATTTGTCCATTATTGTGAGATAATTTAACAGAACATATTCATTGGAGAAAATACCACACAATCTTGTTACAGAGATTTCACTGGTGAAATGAACAACAGTTGACATGCCGTGAATATAGTGTGCTGTGAATCGGAATACAGATTGCATGTGTAATTTCGAGTATGTCCAGTGAAACTTGTATGAGAACGTTAAATTACGGTAATCATTCAATGTATCGATTCGATGGTTTGTTAGACATGTGGAAAATAGTAATTCGTTTCATGACACTAAAGAGTAATATTCAAGATTATTTTGGAGGAGTGACATTTGCGGATCGTAGTACTGAGTGACTCTTATACACCCACACTGTGGATGGATACTGAATCCATCTAAGCATATGAAGTCCTGTCAACCCGATACATCACGAGGTTTTACTGTTATCTGTGTGATAGTAATAGTGCTGTTTATTTTGGATTGTTCGATGCACAATATGTTGAATTTAACATTCACTCACAAAATCTCACTTACTTCTCAAGGTTTCAAATTCTTTAGCACTTCCTGGAAATCTGTTGGTGTGATCTAGGAGAGCTATAGAAAAAGATAAATGTATCAGTTTTTAATGATAACACGTTTTATATCACAAACCGGTAGTGAGTGAATAAGCGTTTATCAAGGGTAATGATGCTCACAAGTTTTTAATGTGAAAGAAATCAACTCAAATAATCTTCTTCAACTAGATCGACTGCACAGCATTGTGGATGGAATAATAAAAGCTTTTATGTCTGACGGTAATTGATAGGTCGTGATATAATGAAAATAGTACAAAGATCTATGTGATAGTGAGTACTTACTAAAGAAACAAAAACCAATAATAAAAATTTTTATAATGATATGAGTGAATACATAAAAAACATTTGAAAGTAGCCTTATGGGAAACGTTATAAAAAATTAAGAATCGGCAATTATTTGATCATTATTGAAAGAGTGTATGAAGTACGGGAAATCAAACAAATCAATAGATGAAGATAAACTGTGGACTGGTAGATGATATGAAATGGTCAAATAAAGAAAATGGACTAGTTGTTTTCGGATTGATCCACACAACAACTGCTATATTTTAGTCATTTTCTATTTGCAAACTAATCAGATACTAGGACAATGTCGATTTCTGCTTATCGGTAATCTTGAATATCATCTCACAAAACTGTTGTCACAGTGATAAATTGTGATAAAAACCGTGAATGTATTTCTTCTCAAAATAGAAAACAAATAAACGTTCGCGATATCTGAAACATTGTAAATTTGTTTAATAAATAATATCAATCAATTTACCAACCTTGATCTGGTCGACGTGTAGTTCTTAACAAATCATCAGTGGGTACTGGAAAATAATGTACTGCGGAAATGAAAAATTGAAAATCAAAATCGTTTGACTAAGCAACAGTCTACTAGAGATTGACAAAGTGGATTCTATTGCAAAACGAGGTGATGAAACATAGTGGAAATATTTTAAACATTTGATATGTATCGATGCCATGTTCGGGCTCGATGGTCGGAGTCGATAATTTGAGCATTCGATAGAAAGTTAATAATGAATATATTTTTGTTATATCTCAATGAGTAGAGAAACTGTATTTCTGACGATTCGTGACTTGATGTAGCAGTTTCTTCGCATAGAATAAATAACCGAAATAAATTGCCACAAGTTTACGTGTTACAAACAAACAAATGTTTGATGTTCGCGATAATATTTATAAATCCATAAACAGTGTTGTTGTGCCACTTATTTATCTGTATCAGAAACACGTACATATAACCCTGAGTGGACTGATGTTGACTGCGGAAACCAGCTTCATAGTGTTTGACAACATCTCTCTGTTCTTGTAGTACAGAGATGTTTACAAGTGGCTGATCATAGATAATGGACTAGTTGTTTTCGGATTGATCCACACAACAACTGCTATATTTTAGTCATTTTCTATTTGCAAACTAATCAGATACTAGGACAATGTCGATTTCTGCTTATCGGTAATCTTGAATATCATCTCACAAAACTGTTGTCACAGTGATAAATTGTGATAAAAACCGTGAATGTATTTCTTCTCAAAATAGAAAACAAATAAACGTTCGCGATATCTGAAACATTGTAATTTGTTTAATAAATAATAATAATCAATTTACTAACCTCTATAATGTTGAAGATTAAATCTTAATCCATTGTTAATACTTCCTGCTTAATGAAAGCAACATTAATGTAAAAAGTGAACACAAATATTATTTGACTAGGCAACGGTCTACTAGAGATTGACAAAGTGGATGCCGGCGGCCTGCTTGAATATCTGGGCTATCTGTTCCTCCGATCTAGATATTTCATCAAGTTATCTGCTTTGTTGTTTGTTTTAGCACATCACTATGTCTATTGTGCGCACAACCTATTCAGGCGCGTTTATGAAAAGTTTACAACCTTCAGCTATACGGGATACAAAAAGGTACAATCAGCGACATCATGGTTGCTGGCATTATGCATTGAAACAAATGAACAGTAATCAAATGTGGATTACCGAACTTCTAACGTCTAACTGGTCATCATTCAAAATTTATCGTCACAATCGATCAAGGTATAAGAAAAGGAAACTTTTTGAAATACTATACTGAGAATTCTATGTTGTACCAAAAATAAAATGTTGCATAATGCTTCTAATAATAATAATATAGCAAAACGAGATGATGAAGCATAGTGGAAATATTTTAAACATTTGATATGTATCGATGCCATGTTCGGGCTCGATGGTCGGAGTCGATAATTTGAGCATTCGATAGAAAGTTAATAATGAATATATTTTTGTTATATCTCAATGAGTAGAGAAACTGTATTTCTGACGATTCGTGACTTGATGTAGCAGTTTCTTCGCATAGAATAAATAACCGAAATAAATTGCCACAAGTTTACGTGTTACAAACAAACAAATGTTTGATGTT